TATGAATATTTTTAAATATTTTATGTTTTTCGACTATTTTTGGAATTAACGATTTTTATGTTACAACTGTAACAATACTTATAAAAGTCATATGTAATAAATTTGATTAGATAAAAGCTATTTATTAATAAATAAGTTTCATACTTATATTTAAAAATAAAAATTTATAATTCCAAAAAAAATAAAATTTATAATTCTAAAAAAACAAAACGTTGTACTTATATTTTGATATATTTTTGTTACATACTTGCTAAATTCAACTTTTCAAACACATCACTACACGTGATCTGGTTTTAAGTTGCATTAAATTTTGGTTATTGTATTTGTTGTCATAGAAATGTCTATTCTAAAAGTATACTTGAACCTTGTATACTTAAATAACAGAATGTTATATTTGAAAGTACTGGAAAATTTCTCTTAAAACAGTATCACCAATCTAATAAATTTAAATTAGAGTCAATTGGTGTTGTAATGTATTGAATAATTTTATTTTTAGCAGATATTTCTTTAGTAGTTTACTTTATAAGAAATAATTCAAAAACAAATCATTTGTTATATCATAATTGTAAATTTATAGAAATTATTATTGTATTTTGATTTAGTGATATGTTATTTTTGTAAAATATCATAAGCTTTTACAATATTAATATAGTCTTATTACATTGATTAATATTCACAAAGTTTTAGTTTTTGAACATGGATCTAATAAAGTGTGAATCTTCTATATAATTCCAATATTCTTTTAAATTAAAATTAATTGAATTCACTATTATATATTCTTCTAAATTAATATAATTTGAATAAAAGATTCCAAATGCTAAAGTACATTGATAATATTTAATCTTATTGTAGAATATGTAGAAGATAATAATATTTTAATTGCAATAAAAATTGGTTCAAATAGTTGAATTATATTATTAATTTGTATCTAATCATTTTCTTGTAAATAAATACTAATAAGATCCTGATTTTTGTAATAAGAATATCAAAAATATTACGCATATGATGAAATTTTTTTAACATTAAATAAATGCTATTCCATTAAGTCTTAATATCTAAATCAGATATTATTTTAGCAATACTTTCAAGTTTGCATATTGTTCTTAATAAATTATATAACTTTGTTGATTGACATATCTTTACTATAAATACATGTACTTTTATTATAGTAGATATACTAATTATAATCTATATTATATAGCAATATTATGTATATATACTAAACAATATTGATGAATAAATTCAGTATTTTTCAATTTTTCTTTAAGTTTTCAAGCTGCAACTATCATGGATACTATATTATCCATTGTAATTCTTAATAACATTTTAGTAATCTTATTCTTTTTTGATACTTGTATAATAATTTTTAAATATATATAGCAGTATGCTGTCCAGAAAAGTAATAAAGATCAAGCAAAAAGTGATATAAATTTTATTCTTCATTAATAAAGTAAACTGTCATGTCAAGATATAATTGCATAGTAATTGAAGTTCAAATATCACATGTAATTGATACTTTTTTAGCTTTTTCAAGCTCTTTTAATATTTTATCATGCATATTACCATAATCCATTATTTCATTTTTTATAGTTTGATAACAAGATACTTGATAATATTCATCAAATGCATTTAATATAATAACAAAATAAGGATTATCTATGATTGCAGAGGGAAGTTGACAACAAAGAATAAAATCTATGATTGTATTTGTAAGTTGTTGGTATTATTTGTCTGTTTTTAAATATGGCTTGCTTTTATATTTATCTGTAGTATTTTGTGAATTATTGATTTTGTCATTGTGTTTTTTATACAAATGTTTGGTGAATATATTCGAGGAATTTGAAGACTTGGAATGAGCTTTGCAAATTGAGCAAATGAAGCTTGTAACTTCATTTTTATCATTAAATTGCTTGAAAAAAACCAAGAAGTTACACATAAAGTTATTGAAGCTGAACTATCACTTTCATCTTTACTTGTTGATCTTGCAGTATGTTCTGTTAATGTTAATGTTTCTTCTATAGTATCTTCAGACTCATTCTCAATAGGTTCATTATCTAATAAACCTTGTTCATTTAAAGTGGATATTTTACGTTTATAAGATATTTTAATAAAGTTATAAAAAAATTGCATGACTTTAAATCAACTAAAACACGCATTGATAAATAAATTTGTTAATAAATTGCAAAAGCTGTATTGTATATAATTAACGTTAACTAAATTTATTGCATAACGATAATACTCACTAATACTAACGAATTACGTATATGATATGTCAATACATATTTACAGACTACGTAATGCTAAAAAAACAATAATCGTGAATTTATTTATCCACATCACAAAGCTATTTCATTGGCTATTTTTAAAATAGATCAACATTCTCACTTCGGATTACTCCAGATCACACTCCAGATCACTTCGTGTAGAGTATAACTTCATGTGGAGTATAGAGTGGTTTGTTTATATAATTATGACTCCAGCGTGGAGTAAAATTTAGAAATTACATAGTAATCCGGAGCTAACCTGGAGTATTTACTTCTTAGTAAAGAAGTTTATCCATTTTATAAAATACAAACGTTTTGATGACTTTTAGATTTTATGCACCATTATTGATAATAAGACGATCGGCGTGTTGTTTATTATACAATAATTATTAATTTTTCTTCCCACACTTCTTTCTTGTTAGTGTTATTCGCGAGTTATTTCTTTGAATTTTTTTTCACTTTTCAAAGTAAAACTGGAGTGGTTATTTTGCTGCTAATTTTGTCCCGTTATTCTTTCCTTTAACTTTTCTCGCTTGTAAGACTTCTAGGTAATTACTATTGTGGTAGTATATCCACACCTTGCTAATACTATTCACACTACTTTTTTGCTAGCACTATTATACTCAGTGCTGAGAGATGTTTTGCGAGTTGTTTTTTAGCTTTTATTTCTTCAAAGTTGCTTCTCTGACTTTTCACTTTTTTTAAAGTAAACTGGAGTCGTTGTTTTGCTTTTGATTTTGTCTTATTATTATTTCTTTCCGGGTAGTACATCTAAAAAGAAATCACCTCCCTCCGTGGTAGATTATCTACCTTTGTGGTAGTGCATCAACCTTTGTGGTAGTACATCAACCTTTGTGGTAGTGCATCCATCCACTTCGTGGTAATGCACATTTACGCGGGGCAGTGAATCTAAAGCAATCGCCTTTGTTGTAGTGTATCGCCACCCTTAACCCATCAACTACAACAATTACCTTCACAACCACAACTATCACCACAACCTCAACCATCACCACCAAGAGAAGGATCAAGGCGTCTAACGCAGGCGGTTCTGATAGCCAGGTTGCAGTTGGACGTCCTGCAACTGCAGCAACTAACACAACGGCAACAACAGCAAATTCAGCAGTTGGAAGCTGCCATGCAACAACTTCTAAAGTGAGTATTTAAACTTATGCATCATAGTTTTATAGTTAAACTATTGTACTTATGATATTTTTGTGTATTTCAGCACTGGTTAAAAAAAATGTTGTCATTTAAATTAAAGTAAAAAAAATATAATATATAAATTTAAAATAAAAAAATTCCGCTGTTCGAGTTTAATTTAAACTCGGATATAACCACAACCACCACAACCACCACAATCACAACTATCACCACAACCGTCATTATTACCATTTCAATCACAATCACCATAACCACAATTAACACCACAATCATCACAATTACCACCACAACTGCCAGCACTACCACCACAACCACAACCAGCAGCAGCAAGAGCAGGCGCAGGAGTCCAACGCAGGCGGTTTTAATAGCCAGATTGCAGGCGGACGTCCTGCAACTGCAACAAATAATACAACGGCAACAACAGCAGATTCAGCAGTTGCACACGCTGTCATGAAACAACTTCTAAAGTGAGTATTTAAACTTATGCATCATAGTTTTATAGTTAATCTATTGTACTTATGGTATTTTTGTGTATTTCAGTAATGGTTAAAAAAAACAAAAAAAATGCTGTTGTCGTTTAAAATCAAATAACAAATATAACAACAATCACAAGCACAATAACCACAACAACCACAATTATCACCACAATTAGCATCACAACTATCACCACAATTACCACCACAACGACCATCACAACGACCACCACAACGACCATCACAACGACCATCACGACGACCACCACATTTGTTTAGACTTAGAAAAACAGATAACAATATCAAATAACAAATTATTACAGATAAAACAAATATAACAAATCAAATAAATATGAATACAAATAATAATTATTTCATTTTTCAACAAGCACAACCACCACAACAATCACAATTACCATCGCAACTCCACAATTATCACCGCAACCACCACAATTACCACCACTACAACTATCATCACAACATCACAATTACCACCACAATTACCATCAACAACGACCACCACAACCACAACCACCAGCAGCAGCAAGAGCAGGAGCAGGACGTCCAATGCAGGCGATTCTGATAGCCAGATTGCAGTTGGACGTCCTGCAACTACAGCAACTAACACAACGACAACCACAGCAAATTCAGCAGTTGCTAGCTGCATGCAGCAACTTCAAAAGTGAGTATTTAACTTGTGCATTATAGTTTTATAGTTAACCTATTGTACTTACGATATTTTTGTATATTTCAGCTCCGGTAAAAATGCTGCTGTTGTCGTTTAAATTAAAATAAAAAATCTGTAATTTTAATCTTAATTACAAATAAAAAAATTTCTGCAAATATTTTTTTATGTCATTTATCTTCTCGTTTATAAACTCGGCTATAATTTGCTTTTAAGTATGTAATGATTTCAACATAACTTAGTCTTCCAGTCGTTCAAATTTATTTTCTTCATGAATGATTTAGCGAAAATAAATATATCGACTATTTAATAAAAGAATTGCTACCAATATGTACTGTTACTGGACATTTCCAACGTTTAAAAAAGATGATTTGCATTGCATTATTGTTACGTACATATCGATATCGATATTATTAACATCACACGCCGATGTAACGACTGAATATAATTTCAAAAAAGATAATAATATTAGATATAGCAAATAAACTTGTAAAGGTCGTAGTTATTTTCAAATGTTTCGTCTTCAATAAAATTTGGTATCATTGATATTCTGTCGTGTTTTTTTATAAATTAATTAATCACAATACAGTTCACCCTGTCTAATAAAATTGTTTGAACAACTAGTCCTGAACCGGGTTTTCCTTTTAATACAATCAAATATTGCGCTTTGATTTACAAAGAAAAAATTTGTACAACTTCTTGGAACGGGTTCCTGTTAAAACATTCACTGGAATTCTGGGTTGTGTGAAACCTCTTGTTTGCTGGAGAATGATTTGTCCTAATAATTGGTGCTGTTGTGTTTTTTGGTGAGGTCTCAAAACGCATCACTTGCACCCGTAACGCTAAATCTCCAATTTCAATTGCAGTATTTGTCACAAAGTTCATCAAAAAATGACGACAAAACGTTAAATTTTTTTTGCAAATTTTGGAAATTAAAGAAGAATTTAAAAACTCTGTGTCTAAAGTTTTACGCATTTATACACAGCACCGTTATAGGGTCATTCAAATAATTCTAATCAGGAGATTTACGGAACATGTACTTCCTCTTCCTTACATGAGAAAAATTCTAGAGGTATGGTGCATAAAATCTAAAGTCATCAAACGTTTGTATTTTGTAAAATGGATAAACTTCTTTACTAGCAAGTAAATACAAAATTTAATCCGTGAATATGTTCAGAAAAGGCCTATTCTATCATATTCATGGATTAAATTTTTATTTACTTTTTAGTAAAAGAAGTTTATCCATTTTATAAATACGAATGTTTGATGACTTTAGATTTTATGCACAATACTAAACGAAGCAATACACTAAAGCTGTGGATATTTATAGGTTTGATATGATTATGTACGAGATTGTAACATGAGGAACTTGATTAATTTATTTACCTTATCAACTATGCAATAAGCAACAACAGACTAAAAACTTTGCATTTTTAGTACTCTATCAACTATACAGTAAGCAACATCAGACTAATAATTTGCATTTTCAGTTCAACACACTGGTCGAAAAGTTTATTGGTTAAATAATGTTTGAAAATGTAACTTTATCATTTTTACTATTAGTTTGCTTTGATATTGCCCAGGTAAAACTTTTCGAGCAGTGACAGCTCCCTAGAACATCCTAAAACACATGAAGAAATTGAAGTGTGTCTTAATTAAAAAGCAAAAATTCAAATCAATGAGAAGATGAAGCATTTATATAATACGAACAAAAAAATTATATTGCATTTTCTATAATATTTTTTATTTCTTTAATTCAATATCGATATTTTTTGATACACGTATCGAGTTTCACTTGAACATGCACTGTACATGTATTAGAATTTTCATTGTTGTGTGAAAAATTTTATTCCAATCATATATCAATTAGGCATGTACATGTATGCACCACACAAAAATTTTGATTGAGGCATTAATACAGAAGCCGATTTATTTTACAATCATTTAATAAAACATTGTGCATGTACACAATAATCACTAATACCGTTTAACTCATTTTATAAAATGAAACTCAAAAAGATATTCAAAGCTATTTTGAAAAATTTTAAATTCCAAGACTCGAATACTCGTCATTGTAGTGAATGTTCTAATTATCAATATTTTAAATACTGTGATGAATGTTCAGTTCACAATCATGATTGTAGTAAATGTACCGATTGTTAACAATACAAGTACTGCTAGAAATGGTTTGATTATCGCATACGGATTTATAAAGCTGAATGGTCTAGCGGAAATAAATATACCGATAATCTAATAACAAATGCGCAAGGTATAGTTATTTGTCTTTCGAATGGTTCACTTTGAAAGATTTATAAACGTTGAATATCTTGCAAAAGAAGGTTTTGGGACAATTTATAAAGTATTGTTGCACGAATACGACATGTGGGATCATGAAGAAAATAAATTTAAACGACATAATGAATATAAACGCATAGTTGTGTTGAAATCATTACACCATTCAAAACAACTTACATTAGAGATTAAAAATTATCAATTTCTAAAGTGCAAGCAATGTGCTTTTTTGTCCTTTAATATAATTAATTTTTCACAATAGATTCAAACTGCTCTAAAGTGCTCTGGTAACGGAATAAGATATTATGGAATAACTAAAAACCCAACAGCAAATGAATAATTAATACGTAGTGGTGATCTTCGCAAATATATAAACTTGAATAATTTAGTACGTAGATTGTTTTTCCATTTAATACCTCCGGACTCATATAAGGAAGAACCCGTAAATCTCTTGATGCTTTCATTGCCAACTTTGGGCTTGCGGATCCAGTAGATAGAAATCCAATCAATATGTAATAATGTATTTCCAGGATGAAAGTCATAACACACAAGTTCTTTTTCGTGAATTATTTCTTAGACTCCTGATAATACAAGCTAAATAATGTAACTTTTCTTCCCAAGTCAATTTTCCGTAGTTGGAAATCCTTATACTTATATTTTGGATAATGTATTACTATTGAGCATTCATTCATAGCTGGGTTTTTATTATCTGCTTTATTATTCTTCTAAAAGTTTATCGAATTTATTTATTTAAAATATGAATATAATAAAAATGAAGTTTAAAGAGTTTATTAATGTTAATTATAAGTGATGGATTCTCTTGACAAATTTCAATTACCAATCTCCGATAATTGTAATCTTTGATAATTCTAAAAATAATTCAAATGCAATTTTCATCTCGTTATGTTCCTATACCATTTCGATAAGATTCTTTTGTCCTAAAGCGTTACCACCTTCTGCTGATTTCAAATACCACTCAAATGCTTTTTTCTCATCTTTTTGTGTTCCGATTCCCTTTTGATAACACCAACCAAGATTATTTTGCCCTAAAGTATCACCACCCTCTGCTGATTTCAAATACCACTCAAAGGCTTTTTTCTCATCTTTTTGTGTTCCGATTCCATTATCATAACACCAACCAAGATTACGTTGTCCTCTAGCACATCCACATTTGGCGGATTTCGAGTACCATTCAAATGCTTTCTTGTCATCTTTCTCTGTCCCAATTCCATTTTGATAACAAAAACCTAGATTACATTTTCCCCTAGAATCTTCCCCCCTCGCTGACTTGATATACCACTGAAATGCTTTTACAGGATCTCTTTGTACTCCTTTTCCTTCTTCATAACAATTTCCAATAAAATATTGCGCCATAGCATGATTGTTGATTGCCGACTCTTCGAAAAATTCCGCTGCAAGTTCTAAATCTTCGTTTATTATTAAACCAGTATAATAGAAAAATCCTAAAAGAGTCAAATATTGAATTTTATCGTCTTTAGAATTGTATAAAAAAGTATGAAAAGTATAAACGTCGAAAGAATCTGGTGCGTTCTGTCGATAATATGATTCAAGTGATCTGCCAATCGTCAGATATTTTTTTCGTAATAAGCTGTTTATCTAGCAAATTTAATAAATCATCAACAATAATTTCAAGTGTATTTTTCGAAATTGAAAGGTTTCATGATAAGATACTAAATTTTCAGAGTCTTTACAATAATCTTCACATGAGGATTCCGAACTTTCTGATAATTGCTCTTCGGAACTCCAAGCATATGATACTTTAGATGAAGTTTCGGGTATGGGAACAGAAGATTCCGGTGGCAACCAAACTATTACTTTTAGGTCTTGATTTACTTTATTTATAGTTGGACAATTTGCTGGTGTATTGTCCCAACAATTTTGATAGAGCTCGACGTATTCAGAAGGAGTTCCAAATATTGTTATTTCTTTCTCAAGAACATTTTTATAAACGTACCCATATTTATTAGATGGAGGACGACCGCTAGAAATCATTCATAATAGTATACCAACACTAAAAATATCCGACTTTTCGTCTCGTCGAAAATTATCCGGATCCTTTAGAAAAGCTGGATCAACATAGCTTATAATTCCAAAATCAGTATTTGAATTGAAATCATCGTCTGAGAGTTTTGAATAACCCAAGTCTGCGATTTTGATTTTTCCGTTATGAATAAGGCTATTATTATGGTTCTTTGATATTATAAAATTAATAAAAGATTAAATTTCACTTAAAGTCGAAAGAAATGAATAAGATTCTTACCAAATCTCTATGAATAATGCCTTCATCGTGTATACACTTTACACCTTTTGCAAGTTGTCGAGCTAAAGACAACTTGTCAATTCCTTTCAATTCATTGAAATGTTTTGCCAGATAATTTCGAAGGATTCCACAATTAGCATATTTAAAAACCAACATGTATTTTTGAATACTGGGTTCTGGTAAAGTCGAAGTTTATAATATTTATAAATAGATTTTATAGGTATATTTAAATTAAGTCACATTTGTAAACTTTACCTTTAGTAATTCCATAAAATTTAATAATGTTTGGATAATGCTGCTGAACTTGACGAAGAAATTTTAACTAATTGATACGCATAGTTTTATTAGATTCTATTGTTGGAATTTTAACTATCAGGTAAAGTAATAAAGTTAACTCCTTAATGAATTCTTTTTGGTTTCGTTCACAGTCTTCATTATTTACATAAAGACATTTTAAAGCTACCGTCAACTCGTCGTTTAAAGTTGCTTTATATACTTCGCCAAAATTTCCACGTCCAATTACTTCT